TCTTTGCCATCTAATCACCCAACTGATTCCATGTATGTATGTATGTATGTATGTATGTATGTATGTATGTATGTATGTATTATACAGTACATTCCTCAGGTTTGGGAGGGCTTTGCAATTCTTATCACCTTTTCCTTTTTCTATAAGAGTTGTGCTTATTCTCATTTAGACAGATTCTCTATTTCTGAAACAAAGATTAATTTTTATAGCTTCCTGAACACTCATGGGAAACCATGCTGTCCAGATTTTAGACTTGTTTGTTACATTATGAAACTACAGTAATCACATTTGTGATTTATTATGGGATTAATCTATCCCACAAAACTAGGAGGACTCCAGGTGACTTTCAGAATTTACACATAAACACAATGTAGATCAGATTGTTAATCAAAATAATAATCCAAATCAGTTTCAATAAAGTGCTAAAAGTAGTACAGATGGATTACATAATAACTGAAGGGTAAATTTTAAAAAAGTGTACTTTTCTAATCATAAAAAGGTGATTTAGTTTTGTATGAAATGATTTATAGCTCCATGATTGTTTATCATCAATAAATTCCAATAAAAGTGCCATGAGTTGTTCAGGGCTCATCTAACACATCCTTTCATTCCTTACAATTGTGCAGAGCGTAATTTATTTTTCTAATGAATAAACTATTATAATCTACTTTTAATCTATTTCAATAATTTAATTCATAAAACCAGACATCAATTTAGAAATGATTTTTAAAGTGATTTTTCTCTGTCAGAATAATATGACTGTCCCCTCATTCATAGTATTCTAAAACAGGGGTCTTCAAACTTGGCCTTTTTATGACTTGTGGACTTCAACTCCCAGAATTCCTCAGCCAGGCATGCTGGCTGAGGAATTCTGGGAGTTGAAGTCCACAAGTCATAAAAGGGCCAAGTTTGAAGACCCCTGTTCTAGAATGACAGGACTATTTGGAATACAGGTGATGCTCAGCTCAGAACCACAATTGCAACCGAAGCTTCCATTGCTAAGTGAGTGCACTTGATGTTATAAGCTTTATTGCTGTGGCCATTAAGTAAAATACACAAATATGCGTGAAAAGGGGGAAAAAATGGAATCCAGAAAAGTTAAGTAGGCTCCAGCAATTCTGCTGAACTTTTCAGGCAATCGCAGAACACTTTAGTTGATTTGGATGGTGCAAAAGCAACTCTGGATGGGTTAAGCAACAAAAAACTGGTGCTCCTTCTTGCCCTTCCTTAGATGCTGGGATGACATATCCCATTGGTCCACCTGCCTCCGTGATATTCAACATTTTCCCTGTCCTCACTCATATCTGTCCAGAATAAATGGTGTTTTGTGTTGTGCCCAGAAGAAAACACCAGAAACAGGTATATTGTGCACAGTAGGCTGTAAGCAGTTTGGTACATGCACATGCCTAGTTTGAACCAGGAATAGAATTATGTGTTCACAAAAAGCCAATTAACAGAGGTTTCCTTTCTCTATGCTGTAATGAATAAAAGAAAATATTTAAAAGTTGGAAGAAAGAGAGGATAAAAAGAACAGACACATCTTGGTAACAAGACTATGTTTTTAAGCAGAGCAGGGCTTTAGCAACCATTTTAAAAGTCAAACATTCAAGACCAACATGTAAAGAACAATATTTACATTTTGATCTTTGTAAAGGTCAGGTATTCCATTACAGAGTTCCTTAATGAAAAGAGCACAGGAAACAAAATTAAGAATGAAAGCAACCCTTTGTTTTAGCAGCTAGGCCATCTGCTGTTCTTCCTTGGGCTGGTGTTGGTACAAAGAACATAGCTTGGGTGTTTGTTGCTTGACAACTAAAGGAAAATGGTTGGATAAACACGGACTTGCAAACAAGATATAAAAGAAAATATTTGCTGAACAAGACTGAAAGAGCATATAGGCTAAACAAAGGCATCACGAAAATAGTAGCTTAAATAATAATAAAGGCAGTTATCCCTTGTAGTAGAAAATATGGGATGGCAAGAAGAAAATAGCAATCCTAGTTTTTCAAGATAATTCCGAGCTACTTTTTGTTAAAGTCAAATCTCCCTTTCAATCTCTTATTTTTGCTGGCAGTAAAAAGAGTGCAACAAAATCATTTCCTTCACAAGAATTCCTCTTTCCACTGTTTAGGGAAATAGCTCTGAGCAATTAGGTTAAATGGCTTGTGGGAAAAGATAAGGAAGAATATTGTTAAAGATGTGGGAATTCCAGAAGCTGATATGGAGTAGGAATATGCAAAATCCACCCAATCTGGTCTAGTGTGCTTTGGAGATAAGGCAATCTTACTTTATGTCTGCATCCCAGAGTGAGATGCAGAAAAACAAAACTCCTTCCACAATTTAATATAAAAATAACAGGTGGCATATTGGTTTTTTTACCAGAAAGAAGTTGAAGTCACACAGTCTCTAATATCTAAGCTCAGCGTAGCATGGTGATTACAGTACTGGCATGTAGTATATTGCTGTTTTGAAAGCCAGCAGAAATTAATAAAACAAACAGAACTATTTCTCACTTAATATTGGTAATTAGGATCAGAAATTCCATCATTAAGTGATATTGGCATAAAGCATGATATCACATGACCATACCACATTGTTTTAGAGTCCTCAGTTACCACTGTTAAGCAAAGCACCATGGATTTGTTAAGCGAGGACTTCACCCAGTGGTGGGATTCAGCCAGTTCGCACCACTTCGGCAGAACCGGTAGCTAATTTTTTGTTGCCCAGGGCCAGAATGGATTTCGGGAAGCGGCATCCACACAGAGAACTGGTTGTTCACATATTTGAATCCCTGCACTGACTTCACCTGATTGCAAGTTTCAACTTGCATGCTTCCCCACTGACTTTGTTTGTGGGAAGTCAGCAGAGAAAGTCACAAATCATAATTATGTGACCAGGGGATGCTGCAACCGTCAGAAATCTGGGCTGCTCATCAGTTCCTAGACTGCAATCACATGGCCACAGGGTGTTGCAACATCCAGAACTTCAAGAATTGGTCATAAGTAACATCATTCAGGACGACTGCAACTTCAGGTGCTGAACAACTAGTCATTAAATGAGGACATGTATGTACAGGCAGTGGTGGGATTCAAATATGTGAACAACTGGAACTGGATGCCAGTTCCGGAAGTCCATTCTGGGCCTAGGCAACAAAAAAATTAGCTACCGGTTCTGCCGAAGTGGTGCGAACCTGCTGAATCACATCACTATATACAGGTAGCCCTGACTTGTCAATTGCCCTCCCCATTTGAACATTGGAAGTTCAATGAAAAAAGTAACTTTATGAGGGTCCCCCCCACTAACAATAATTGCAGTGTCTCTGCAGTTACATGACCAAGATGTCTTTGCAGCTGCAACCATTTACAACCATGACAATGTCCTGTGGTCACATGATCATCATTTGCACCCTTCACAGCTAAGTTCCAACAAGCAAAGTCAGTGGACGGTTGCCAGTACGAACTAGGCAAAAAAATTAAAAAAAAAATAAAAATCAATCTACTGCAACATGAAGGCCATTAAGATTATGAACTCTAATCGACTATATGTGATCCGGTGCAACTGATAGATGTTTTCTGAGGTCTCAGGCTATGCCTCTATGGCTTTGAGAGAATTTTGGTCCAAAGTCACCCAGCCTGCTTCTGTGTCAAAGTGAAGGTTTTTTGCTCCTAGAGGGAAATAACTATTAACTACTATACATATATATATATGTGTATGTCTCTGAAGAAATGATGGAAGAATGCATTTTTGCATTTATGTTTTAAAGAATGGGAAAGGAGGTAGTTTCAAGGAATGGAAAATAGTAATTTAAAAAGTGCAAGGGTTCAAACCAGCAACATCCTATATGCCAGGCAATTGTAAAGCATTGCCCTGTTGTAGTGCCATTATAAAGATTGCTTTAAAGAATTTTGCAACTGGCTGTTCTGACTGCATGTATGTGTACTGCAATACTTTAATTTTGTATAAAAACCATTTAACTTTGGAGAGGCAGATACATACATACAGGCAAAAAGTATTCATGTTCAGTAATCCCCACCCAAAGAGAGCAGCATCAGGAAAAATTTTCAGGGGGAGGGTATGCCAGCCTGCTGCCCAGACTGAATACCTTACAACATTTTTTCCCCAACCTTAGCAACTTTTAAGATGTGTGGATTTCAACTCTCAGAATTGCTGGGGAATTCTGGGAGTTGAAGTCCACACATCTTAAAACTGCAGAGATTGAGAAATACACACAAACACACAAAGGAGTAGCTCAAGGGCTCAGTACAGATATGTTCGGAGAGAGAAAAGAATTAGACCTACTAGAAGTCTGCGCTTAAGCATTAGCAGTTCTGCAACAACAGATGAAAGGGAACTGGCCAAAAAGATAATGCAAAACAACAATGGGATAAACTTCACCCAAAGTCAATCCGAGGCAAAAACGGTAACTGTTTGTAAGTCATGTAACAAGCCCAAGCGTGAGAAATCATCAACTTTTTCGTAACTTGAACTACGTACGATTTTAGGGGGGGGGGGTTTTACACCTTGTAATGTAAAATGCAAACTAATCCATCCTCAGCGCTGCCTACGGATGGAGAAGTCGCGTTACCTCTTTCATCTTTCACTCCACGGCGAAATGACTACCCCTTATGTACTACACCGGAGATACTACAACCTATACCACACTATAAACCAGGGGTCTTCAAAGTTGGCCCTTTTATGACTTGTGGACTTCAACTCCCAGAATTCCTCAGCCAGGCATGCCCTGCTATAAACCGAATGAAGAGACGCCTCTTCGGTCCGCTCTCGCCGTTCCAGTCTTCCACAGCTCCGATCTCGGCCCGTTTCCTCAAGGACCCAACGCGCATGTGCATTCAAATTTGGCCACGCCCAACTACGATTTCTGAAGTGGGAGGCGGCTTAAGCGTGTTTGGGATCGGGAAGCTCGGCAATCGGCTGCTCTGCCTTGGCGGAAAAGGAAGGAAGCGTCCCGGTCCAAACCTATCGCTTGCCGAGGTCGCGGTCGTCGCTTTCTATCACCTTTTCTGGTCAAGCGCCGGCGCTGCTGTCCGAACGCTGCCGACATGGTGAGAGGCGAAGCACCGGGGTGGGCCGGCGGGGTGCGGGGAGGTTTGGGCGAGCGCGGAGGCAGGGGAGGGAGAGGCCGCGCTTTCGTTCTCCGGGGCGATAGATGTGACTCAGCACTTGCCGGCGGTGGCAACTTTGCGGCCCAGATTGCCTTGTTTTTATTGCCATTCCACCCCCCACCCCCCCATTTTGCAAACCTTATACTCACTAGGAGTGGTCTGCATGTCTCCGGTGCTTGGAGTTTCCTGCTCCGTGTGGTTCAGTCCTTGCCCTCCTCCTCCATTTTTTGCATTCTCATCGGCCCTTCTCGTGGGCAGCCCAGCAGACTTTTCTACTGAAACAAGCATTCATTTCCTTTTTTTGTTTCGTTAATGTATCTTTAATAAATTGAGACGCTTGAGTCGCTGGGAAAGACTTTCTAAAGAGTTGTGCTTTCGCACTGTATTCAAACCAATGCAAAATAGGGTATCCTTTATTCTTGTATACGTTTCTTTAAAGTCAGGACCCCGCTAAAGGAAGGGACTCCCAATCCCAATTTTCTCCCTATATACCTCTATTGTTGTACCTCCTAACACGATCGCCCCACTTCGTACGTGTGAATACACATGCATGAATCAGCATTTCTGTTTTCCAACCTTTTGCTGGATTTGGTTGCAGAGAGGAGCGAAGGAGATGACCGGATCTATAGTTTTACATGTCTAGTTATGCATCCTATGCCTTGTAGAGTCCTTGTGATGTCACAAAATAAAATCGGACAACAAAAAGCCAGTCTAGCACAGCAGTTAAACGTGTGTCAACAAATATAAGAGCAGTATAGTTACACGTTGTAGATAGTATGCTACAGAGATGCATCTTAATAAAGTCTGTTGCATTGAAAACAATTGTTGAATGGATTTTTCTCAATTTCAAAAGGGGATATAACTTAAAGTACATTTTAATTTCTCACCTTGCAGTCCTACAAATAATCAGAAGTAAATTTCATTTGCCTAAACCTGAATAGGTATAGGATATTGATGTAGTAGTTAAAAAAAACATTTTTCTTTTCTTTCTTTCTGATCCCTGTTTCATCAGTCAATAGTTGTGCAATACTGTTCTTACTGAAACTGAAAACAAAACTGTTTTTACCTAGTTAGATTATTAGTTTTAGTTTAGAGATCTCCACATGAAAATTGGAAATGTGGGCTTATTTCTTATCATATTTTTTGAAATGAACTGCTGGATATTAGTTTAGCAAACATTTCCATGTTTGCCTTGATTTATAACACAGTGACTTGGTTAGATGTCCACATTGTAAATGTTCATTTACTATTTCCTTCATGATGCTTTTTTCAACCCAACTTTTATTTTCCTTTGTCAAGCTTCATCCCCTGAATTTCTTAATAAAGTTTAATAAGTATGAGTGGTATACTTGCATGTATTGAACAAACCAAAAATACTATTTGGTAAGGATGTGCAATTTCCCCAAATTGGGAATGTTTGAATTTGACTTAACATATGTGCTATATTAATTGGTAATATTGTAAAGAAGCTGTATGCTTTTTGTAATATTGCAAGGTGCTGCCAATAGGTATGAGAATTTTCACATTGAATCTGAAGAATCTTTCCTGCTTTGAACCTGCATTCTGCACACCTCTACAATTTTGCTCAACCCTATCTTGAAAAGAAAATTAGTTATTAAATGCCATACCAAAGTTCTATTTCCATAAACTTTTTTCAGTTACAGAAATGATAATCCATAGTACAGATGAGATTTTGTTTTAATTTTTCTTATTTTAATGGCAGTCATATTAATCAATTTCTTTTGTTCACTTTAGTTTCGCAACCAATATGATAATGATGTCACTGTATGGAGTCCCCAGGTATCATTTTTGTCTTTCTATTTTTTGTATATTTCCTTTTCTCATCAGTTGAATAATAAAAGGATTTAAATCCTTTGATATCTTTTACTTTCAAAGTAAGATTTAAAACTTACTTTGAAAGCAAAAGTAATAAGAAATTTGTATATGTGAAATGTGTTCATTATAGTAACAACCTGCATGAGTGATTTATACAGAAATACCTTTCTCAACTGGATTTTCTGTGCTAATAGCTATGGGAAATGCAGCTTAGCCTACTTATTGTTACTTGTGTGATGCTAGGCCCAGGAGTATGAGACAACTGAGTCAATGAACAATAAGATAATCATTATAGTCTGTTGTTTCCTAATTTCAGGGACAATAAGGGATATCTGCATAGATTAGAATTTGACAACCTAGAATAGTTGTAGCCTTAGAGGGAATCTAAGTGTAAGAATGCTATACTCACATTCTTTTTTATAAAGTTATAACTAAAATTATGTCAGATTGAGTTAGGTTTATAAAAACCATGGTTTGTTGATTAAACCAGTGACCCCCCCAACCTTTTTGATGCCAGGGACCGGTTTTGGGGGAAACAATTTTTCCACAGACCAGCAGTGAGGTGTATGTTTCACACGCTACCTATATCCTGCAGATGCTCAGATGATGCTTCTCTTGTTTGCATGGCCTGGTTCTTAAAAGACCATGGCCTGGTACCGGTCCGTGGACCAGGGGTTGGGGAGCCCTGGATTAAACCATACTTGGCAAGGTGCACATAACATTCAAATCCAAACAAACCATATTAGGACTAAGCATGATGTAGAAACCAAAACATTAATTCTATTCCCCGTTCCCTGCTTTCATCTGAATACGTTCTGGAAAACTCAAAAGTTCTACCTATACTGTGTCATTTTTTATTGGTCTGATAAAGATGTTTGCCGTACTATGGAATTTAGTGGGCATGCTGTGCACAGAGATTGTTACTAATTTGTGCTCAAATGTCCTGATTTAATGCAATTGTGATAAACATAACATTTAGTCTTAAAACTATCATGGAATATTTTTATTCACTAAAGATAATGTTAAGTAACGTTTGAAGGAAGCAACCATTGCAATGAAAGAAGCAAGAAAAACAAAGTGTTAATTAGTTGTAACTCATTGGGTAATTTGGAGCCAGCATCTCTCTCTCTGCCCAGCCTGCCTCAGGGGATTATTGTGGATGAAAGTAGGACAACGAAGCCACACACATACACACAAGCATATACGGTATACATATATGCTGTGAGTTCCTGAATGAAAGGCATTCATTCTCATATTATTCCAGGAGGCTCATCTCATTTGCACTATCAGCATGTTCATAAGGCTATCTTTTGTTTTTTAGGGTCGAATTCATCAAATAGAATATGCAATGGAGGCTGTCAAACAAGGATCTGCAACTGTGGGGCTAAAATCAAAATCCCATGCTGTTTTAGTTGCCTTAAAGGTAAACTCAAGAGGAAAGCAAGTTTGTTTTTTTTTAAAAGCATATGTGATACATAAAACATTATAATATTCACAATCTTAAAGTAGTTTTTTGAAATCTAGAAAATGTACCTGTTGGCCAAGAAAAAAATTGTTGTAATCACTTTTGGTTTGTAGGGGCAAGAGCTGAGAAAGTCTGTTCTAAATAATTACAGTATTCAGCTTGAAAATACTATCATATTTTAATTATTGTACTTCTTGTTTACCTAGTACCAGGTGGGGAGATAAGTGGGACATAAATTATTATAAATAAAGTTTGGAAACATGAAATGCTACACACAAGAACATTTTTAGAATAAAATGATAGGAAAGAGCCAAGCAATTTTGTGGGGCCAGTGAGAGATCATGTGGCAAAAACATCAGGTACATTATTTGATTGTAAATGCAGTCAGAGAGCATTGCAAATTTTTATTACAGTAAGGCTATATGTGCTATAAATAATAGATAATGGTTCCATTTCCAGCAGTAAAGACCACATAGTTTTTCTTGGAGAGAAAAACAATGGTGGGATATTACTGCAGAGGCTATTTTTGGGTTCTCAATAGGTGCATCCTTACTAGGCCTGGTATGTAGGACAGGAGATTAGGGATGGAGTTACAAGTGTTAGCTTATTGAGCAAAGACAGACACAACACTTGCACTATTAGGAGTGTACTAAATTTATTGATTAGGGAACAGAAAATTAAGTTTTCTAGAATGCTCCATTGCATTCTAGACCAGGGGTGTCAAACTGCTGGCCCGTGAGCCAGTTTCATCATACCGAAGCCGCGCCCACCCCTTTGCTGGCAATGCAAAAAGAGTCGCGATGCGTCACGACACATCACGTGACGTGGCGAGTTTGACACCCATGTTCTAGATCGTGTCAAATTTCCTTCCAAATTACACTATACAGAGATGGTTTGCAGGTTTTTGGAAGTAAATGAGAAGCCATTTAAGTCGTCATAAAATAATTGCATTAAGCTTCTTATGTTTACATAAGGAATAACAAGAGTTCAACAATCTTTACTATAACTGTTTAAAATACTATTATTAATTCAGTCAAACCTTAATCCACTGGGCTTTAGATCCAATGAATAAACTTCCCACTATATTAATGTCATTTTGTATGTTTTTCTGAAATGACATTATATACAAAGTGTTAATTTCTGCAATGATTTGCAAATTATATAATTGGTGTCATTTGCTGTTGTCACTACAGATTTTATTCTCTCTAGTTTAACAAACAGTGAGAAATAATGCATACTTTCTCTCCCCCCCCCCTAAATTTGTTTAGAGGGCACAATCTGAACTGGCAGCTCATCAGAAAAAAATCTTGTATGTTGACAACCATATTGGTATTTCCATTGCTGGACTTACTGCTGATGCAAGACTCTTATGGTAAATTTGGAATTTGATTTATTTGATTGATTGAATGAGGACTTGTTTTAAGTTTATAAATATACATGGAGTGGGTTTGTATCCAATTCCTAATTCAAGCCCTTGGTTCCTGAGATTGTATCCATGTTTCTCTATTCTTTACCTTGTCTAGTGCAGTTGCTGCACACCATAACCAGGTCTCCCAATAAACCTCTGCTGAATTTAACTATATGTATGAAAATTGTTCTTAGTCATTTGTGAGGATTGTATATAAGAATAGTGGTGGGGAAGATTAATTCCACTGCTCCATCCACACAGTTACTGAAAATACTGAGGGACTGAGAGTGGACCTGATTGAATTGCTGCTGTAGGAGCAGAACGAAACACCTGGAACATACTTGCTAAGGAGCATCCAATAATTTCATGCCAAAATGAGTTTATTCCCCTTGCCTGTCTTAACTCTTCTATAATCAAATAGTATTATAATATCCATACAAGTAAGCTTTCTATTGAATAAATCTAAGAAGTCCTGAAATTACTAATGGAATAAATTCTATTTTACTCCTGCAGCAATTTCATGCGTCAGGAGTGTTTGGATTCCAGATTTGTATTTGACAGGCCTCTTCCAGTATCTCGATTAGTGTCTCTGATTGGAAGCAGTATCCTTTTTTCTGTGTGATCATTATTGAGGGTTTCTCACAGTTGCCAATATATTGTTGGATAATCATCTTACTGCAAAGGATTCAGGTAGTTTTATTGTATAATAGCAATAGCACTTAGACTTATAGACTGCCCCATAGTGCTTTAGAGCCCTCTCTAAGCGGTTTACAAATGTCAGCATATGGCCCCAACAATCTGGGTCCTCATTTTACCGACCTTGGAAGGATGGAAAGCTGAGTCAACCTTGAGTGGATCAGGATCAAACTCCTGGCTATTACTATTACTTTTAAGGAAAGTGAGGCAATACAGGGAATTATGGACTGTTCACTGATGCTAAAAATCTACTCATTGATTGAAAATCACAGCCACATAATAAAAAAATAAAAGTTGAATAGTAAAATGAGAATTTTCTGGATTTTAGATCAAATTCATCTATTCAGGCAGACTCATCCACAAATTTTACTTCAACATTACATAATTTGGATGAATTAAATTTCATCACTTTTAATAATTTAATGTTGCCTCTTATCATTTCAAAGATTTCCATAATAGTTAATACAACAGATGTTGAACATTCCTATTGAGTATTTTGGATTTTGTTTAATCATAATCCCATGATTTATTTTTTGATGTTTAATTGGAGATGACACTGGGGGTCAGTTTAACTCTGGTGATTATTTTAAATTCTATGAATAAAATCCAATGCTAGTCTTTTTCTGATGGAACTTCAGCTTTCTGAGAAGCTGAATGATCACTGCTACTGTTATTTTCCATTTGTGTCCTATATCTTAAAGCCTGACGGGGGTGGAGGTGGGGGTTATATTTTAAATCTTGAAGAGTGTATATGAAAGTTTTCATAAAAAAAATATGAATGTGTAAATCAGCTTTTTGAGATGTATTCCTCAGCTTGTTTAAGAAACACAGATACCAACGCAGCGTTATGGCAGAAGACCATATGGTGTGGGACTTCTTATTGCAGGCTTCGATGTAAGTGCATCAACTGTGGGAGACATGTTATTGTATTTTTTTTTTCTGGAGAATTTCACTCCTAGAGTAAACATAGTAGAACTGCAGCAAAAAGAGTTCGGAGTCTTATTCTGTGTCATAAAACAATTTGTAAGTAATTATGAACATTGAATAGGAAACTTGGATTTGGAACTTCTTGCAAGATACATTTCAGTTTTAGTATATTATTCAGATGTTTAGGAATTAGGTTCCCATCAACCCAAGCCAGTATAGACAATGCTATGTAATATTTCAGACTGTTTTTGAACATCAAGCTCTGTAGAATTTTGGTTTTTTTTTTCCAAGGAGGCTGTTGTTTCAGACGTGAAGGGAGCTGTTTTAAAAATGCTTGAACTAATTTTGCATTTGAAGTGGGAGGTTTTGGAAAGATTGCACTTAAAGCAGTTCAGAATGAAATGTGTTGGATGCCCTTAATAGCCAGGGGTTGTAAATTACACTGTAAAACAGCTCAGAAAGTATATATATTTTTATTTGGATGGTGAGATCAAAACACTGTATGTAAGCTGTCTGACAGATTCCTCCTTTTTTTTTTAAAAAAAATGTCCTTTTAATTTGTCAGGATATGGGTCCCCATATCTTCCAGACTTGCCCTTCTGCAAATTATTTTGATTGCAAAGCAATGTCCATTGGTGCACGATCCCAATCAGCTCGAACTTATTTGGAACGACATATGACCGAGTTTTCTGACTGTAAGTACAGCATGTTTGCAGTATCTGTCTGTCTATCTATCTGGTTCATTGCTGAACTTACTTGGCTATCAGAAATGTGATGAAGAAGTTGACAGTGTGTTTAACCCATTCAGTCCAGAAGATACAGCTTTTCTGAACTAGTCATAAATGTAGTTATTTTGCAGGTAACCTGAATGAATTAGTGAAGCATGGACTGCGTGCTCTGAGAGAGACACTTCCAGCTGAACAAGATCTAACTATTAAGGCAAGGCTGAGATTTTTCTTCTTCTCGCAATTCAATCTGTTTCTGAAACACGGCTAATGGTAGTTATAAACATTGTGGAAGAGTGACACATGTATTTTTGTAAAGCAGAACCCAAATTTATAATTAAACATTCACATATAAGAGTATGGAGAGATGTGCTTTGAACATTAAAATAATCTGAGAAATCAACTCCTGGCTCTAGGACATATAGCTCTGAATTTTACAGATTCTCTGTCCCTGATAATATATTTTTGTAATCATATAATTTTTAAATACATGCTTTAAACATTGTTTTTATATGAGTCTATAGGGCCCTAGATATCCTTTTTTGGTAGGGAAATAATGTATATTTTCAAGTATGTATCTAAAGTAATTCTGACGCATGGAACATCTCAATGTATTGAAATATTAATATGATTCAGTCCAATTATGGCTTCAGCAAGTTCAGTAAAATGCATTCTTATTACCCTTTTGAATTGTAACATAATATATATTTTGTATTACTTTCTTGGGAAAGATAATGAATTTCTCTCCCCCCCCCTTTTTTTTTTTTATATTTGTCATTTAACAGAATGTTTCTGTTGGGATTGTTGGTAAAGAAATGGAGTTTACAATTTATGATGATGATGATGTAGCACCATTCCTGGAAGGTCTGGAAGAAAGACCACAGAGAAAGGTAGGCAACTCACAGTTTATAAGTGTTTCATTAGGCTATTTTCTTTTTTGCTATATATGCTTATCTCAGTATTTTTTTTCAATCTTGTAACTCAGTAGCTGGATCACATTATGAAACTCTCCATTCTGAGGACTTTTTCTAGATCAGGGGTCCCTGACCTAGTGGGCCGTGGCCTATTGGCCGCTGGGCCACAAGTGGCTGGCCGGTACACATGTGTGCGTGCGTGCGCACAGTCCCACTCGTGTGTTTGCAGCCCTGTTCATGCAAGTATCATCATGAATGTCACGGCATTTGCGGCCCCACTTTCGCAAGCATTGCAGGCATTTGCAGCCCCACACATGAATGCTCACATCAACACGAGTGTCGCGGGCGCTTGTGGCCCCACTCGCATGAGCGCTCGCGGCTCTACTAGCACGAGGGTCGTGGGTGCTCGTGGGCCCATTCATGCTAGTGTCGCAGGTGCTCGTGGCTCCACTTCGCCAGTGCTCAGGGCCTCACACGAGCGTCATATGTGCTCTCGGCCTCACTCGTGCGAGCATGCATGCACCCCTGCCCCTCCCACAAAACCATCCCCCACCAGCTGCCAACCGGGAAAGCTTGCAGAACTCTGTTCTAAATCGCCTGTCCTCCAAGATTAGATGACTGGTGACATAAGAGAATGCCTTTGGAGTGTGATATTCTGTCTCCTGCTCTCCTCGTAATAATTGTAGTATTTACTCATTTGACAGTAAAAAAAACCCTTTACTTAAGTCTTTTTAATCTGACTAATAAGCTTTTGATTTTAATTTTTGCAAAAAGTGTATTCCTCTCTTGCTCTTTCAAGGATTCTTCCCAGTATCATGCAAACACATTTCCCATTTTTTCTTTCTCTTATTTTCAAAGCAGACTTTTTAAAAAAGGGGGAGATTTGATTTCTTTCCATATATACATTCCATTGATATATTAAGAAAATTGGACGTTTTGCTTAACAGACCAAATGATTATTTTATACACATTTATGCCCTACATATAAGCATTTTAAATGTATATACTGTATGTCTTACAAATAATAACTCTGAAGGTATGAGCCAATTAACAAGTGTAGAAAACGTGAATATTCAGTTTTTCTGGGGATTGGGCTAAGTTTTATGAAATATACAAAAGGAACAACACATTTTAAAATACTGTATATCAAACCAAATTTTGCCACTGTTGAATTTTTAAAGCAGAAAAATTGAAGTATTGGAAATCTCCCAGTCTATTTATTACAACACTGAATATTGGGGGATTGTGTATTTGTAGAATATTTTGTTAGGGGTTTTTTTTCACAGTGATGGTTATCTTTATTTCTTTTATTTTTTTAAGACTGCTCAGCCTGCTGAAGATACAGCAGAAAAGCCTGAGGAACCAATGGAGCACTAAATGCACTGCATAATGTATGCGTTACTTCAGAGGAAATAGTGCGAGGAGCACTATTTGTATTGTGGTAACTTTAAAATTCAAGGCATAATGTAGTGATAAAACACCAGTGTTTAAAAGAATTACAAAAAAAACACCTTATGTTGACAGAAAAAAATAACTGACTTCTATTAAGAAATGATGTCATTTTCTAGAAAAGACTGAAATACTGTTTTATATGAAAAAGCATGTTGCTTTTATGTTGTAAAAACATCTCTGAAATAAATTTTCTTTTATGAAAAAATGTGACTTTTTTATACTCAAATTTAAAAAAGTATACAATATTATTGGATCCCATGCTTTTGGGATCCTGTACTATGCCAGTATTTTTAAATATCATTATGAATTTCATACCAAGTTAAATCAGAACGTGTAATCTATTTGTAACTATCAAACCAGTTGAAAATATAAAATGGGATCCAATTAATTTAAAGACATTCACAGAGAGATTTCTGCCAGGGATGTGCAAGATGGACTCTTGCAATATTCTGAATTTCAAAAATTATTTCTGGCAAAGAATAAAAAAGGGAAATAAAAAAATGTGGCTGATCTTAGAGCCACTAAATTATAAATGACTTAGATGAGGGAATAAATGACTTAGATGAGGGAATAGGAGGGGATCTAATCAAATTTTCAGATGACACTAAGCTGGCTGGAATAGCCAGCACCCCAGAAGATAAGCTCAGAATCCAAAAAGATCTTGACAGACTTGAACAATGGCCCTATCTGACAAAAAGATATTTAATGTGGAGAAAATCAAGGTTTTACACCTGGACAGAAAAAACCAAAGGTACAAATACAGATTAGGCAAAACCTGGCTCAAAAATAGTAACTGTGAGAGGGACCTTGGAGTCCTAGTGGACAATCACTTAAACATGAGCCAGAAATGTGCAGCAGCAGCCTAAAAATAATAATACAATCCTTGGTTGTATAAACAGGTATAGAATCAAAATCACGTGAAATATTAGTACCGCTTTATAATATGGTTTTGGTCACCATATTAGAAAAAAGATGTTGAGACTTTGGAAAAAGTGCAAAGAAGAACAATTAAGATGATTAAAGGCCTGGAGACTAAAACATATGAAGAACGGTTGCAGGATTTGGGAATGGCCAGTCTAGAGAAAAGGACTAGGGGGAACATGATAGCAGTATTCCAGTATTTGAGAGGCTGCCACAAGGAGGAGGGGGTCAATTTATTTTCCAAAGCAGCAGAAGGCAAGACAAGAAACAATGGATGGAAACTAATCAAGGAGAGAAGCAACCTGGAATTGAGAAACTTCCACAGGACAATTAACCACTGGAACAATTTGCCTTCAGACATGAGCGTGCCATTACTGGAGGCTTTTAAGAAGAGACTGGACAGCCACTTGTCTGAAATGATAATAGGGTCTCCTGCTTGAGCAGGGAGCTGGACTAGAACAGAGGTCCCCCACTTTTTGGGCACCAGGGACCAGTTCCATGGAGAAAGGTTTTTCCAGAGACTGGAGAGTGTGTGGTTTTGTGTGCTGCCTGAATTCCACGGATGGGGCTTTGCTTGGTTGTGTCGACCGGTTGCTGGCATGCCACAGCCCGATACCAATCCACAGACCAAGGGTTGGGGACCCCTGGACTAGAAAACCTCCAAGGTCACTTCCAGCTCTATTCTGATTCTGATATCAGAGTGTTGGAGAGCTTTCAAGCATGAAATGTGGAGGTAGAGCAATCTCAAACCTTGCTGTAAAAAAGTGGATTAAAGTTTGTAAATTCTGTGGATTTGGAAGTTAAGGTTTTAACACTTTCCATGATATCTGATGGACCCCTTGGCTGCTGTGAAACAAAGAACCAAGGAGAGTTCAATTTAGGACTTCAGACAATTTATACAGTAACCTTTCAAATGAATTCAAATCATTCAATTCCTGATAACTGGTGTTTTCAAAAGTGATTTAGTTTTGCCTGCTTCCTAGGGTTAAAAGGGAGTGATTGTCCCAAAGTCACACAACTGGCTTCATTCCTAACACAGGACTAGTTTCTAGCCTGGTGCTTAACTACTATACCAAACTGCTTTCCGCACCTAGGTACACAATTGTGCACACATTCTGTTCCCTTAAGACATTTTTTTAAAAGAAAGTAAGGAGGGAGGCTACTATATTGTGCAAAATTTGTTATAGGAAAAAAAGCTGTCACTTTAAGGAAAACCTGGTTCTTTAATAAGCCAGGTTTATATTAATGGTCCATCTAAGTCGGGTCTGCAACCTTGACAACTTTAAGACTTGTGGACTTCTGGGAGCTGAAGTCGACAAGTCCTAAAGTTGTCAAGGTTGCAGACCCCTGATCTAAGTAGCCGGAATGTAAATAATGATGCGCTAAACCAGTGTTTCTCAACCTGACAATTTTAAGGCATGTGGACTTCAACTCCCAGAATTCCACAGCCAGCATTGCTGGCTGTGGAATTCTGGGAGTTGAAGTCCACATGCCTTAAAATTGTCAAGGTTGAGAAACACTGCGCTAAACAGATTCCAGGGAAAATGTATAACAAGTGACTAGGTTAGGTGCTTCCCCTGTGCTTAAGTTAGCGATTCCTGTGGGCAAGTTTTGAAAAAAGTACTCTGTGGCAACTACACAAGGTAACTTCCCAGCCACGTGTATGAAGGCGAACCCACGCTCGTCCTCTTCAGTCAGCCTTCCTCCGCGCTTCCGCCCGAGCCGCGCAGCTCTCGAACTTCGCCAGAAGAGGACGGCGTTTCTCTGAAGCTACTGAGCGCTTTTGCTAACGGAGGAGGCGTGTCCTGAAAGGGCCGCCGTAGTAGAGAGGTGGCCTGTGCGCCTAGGGCTTCCACGTCAGCTGGAGCGGGCGGCGGACGCCAGCAGGACCGGAGAAGGGAGCAGCAGCTCTGCGACGGCCGACTGAGCAAGAGGAGGCGGCCGCCGGTGCCGCCGCGCGGGTTCAACAGCCGCGTCCGATTCTGCCACGGGATCCCCTCGGCCGAGGTAGCTGCGGCGGCCACCGGGTCGTTTGCAAAGGGCTGGGAGGGCAGGCGGGCCAGGGAAGTGCCCGCGTAACGCTGCTCGGGTGGAGGGAGGCAGGCAGGCAGGCAGGCAACGGGCCGAAGCAGCGGGCTTTCTGGGTGAAAGGTTTGGAGTCGCCGACGTGGTCAAAGGAAAGGACCCTTCTCGCCGCGAGCCCCGATCCTCCTCCTCCTCCTCCTCCTTCTCCTCCTCCCGGGTGTGCAGCGGACTTTCCCCTTCCTAAAGCCGCCACCTTTCAGATCTTTCCGCGGGGCCTAAGAGCCCCCAGCCAGCCTCGCCCCGTAAGGTAGGGAGGGCTTTGCGGTCCTTCCACGGCAGGGCGTCGGGGTTACTCCGTTAGGAATACAGGACGCCGGGTTCCGGGATTTTCCTCCGAATGAATGAAGGCAGGGCGGGGGATGGATGCCCGGCTGGGGCTGGACCTCCCTGCCTTGGGGGGGAGTCGTTTGGGGTTCCCAAAGCATCGATGCTATGGCCCCCTGAACGCCTCTAGGCCAGTGGTGGCGAACCTACGGCACGGGTGCCAGAGGCGGCACTCAGGGCCCTCTCTGTGGGCATGCGCGCCGTCGCCCCAGTCCCAGGCCTTCAGCTGGGTTTTATAAAACCCTTTTCGCTTTAGGCCTCCGCCGCCGTGTGCCAAAAAAAAAGGTTCAATCAGTCAATTTCAGCTTCTCGGGGGGGGGGGAAGATCTCGCAAAGTTGGAATTGATGGATTGAACTTTTTAGTCCCACCCAGTCGGCCGTTACCACGGCAGCCACGCCCACCCAATGGGCCACGCCCAGCCAATGGGCCACACCCACCCGGCACTCGACGATGCATAAGTGGGTTTTGGGTTGCAGTTTGGGCACTCAGTCTCTAAAAGGTTCGCCATCACTGCTCTAGGCCAAGGAGACTCCACCAAACTATAGCAGGCGAAAGAGCCATTGGGGGCCAGCCAGTCCAACCGTATACTCGGCTTCTCCCCCCCCCCCCAAATTCTTCTTCCTGTGCCTTCTACTCAATCTTGATTCCCCGGCAATTACCTAAACTAGACCCTACAACTTTCTTGGCAGTATTTTTTCCAGAAGTGGCTTGCCATTGCCTCTTTTCTAGGGCTGAGAGAGAGTGATGGGCCCAAGATCTGGTTGGCTTCGTCACTAAGGCAGGACTAGAATTCAGTCTCTTGGTTTGTAGCCTGGTGCCACATCAAACTGCTCACTTTAGGAGCTCAAATTAGAGCATCCCGGCTTGATACCTGCCAAGCCTCCCTTTGAACAGCACTGATGAGAGAATTTGCTAAGTTACTAAAAGGAAATCCTTCATGCTGATCTAGCCAGTTATAAATGTTATCAATTTTAACTGTCTCTCAAAGTCATAATAGGGGTTCTGCCTTTTCCAGCTAGCCAGCAGGATGTAGCTTACTTTAGCCGATCTCCGAAAGTTAGGCAGGGTTAGATCTGGTTAGTACTTGGGTGGGAGACCTTCAGGAAAGCCCAGACCTCTAGTATATATTGGGATGTTGTGGAAATAAGAACACCCTGGGAAAATGCAATAGCAAATGACTCCCATATTGTTCAGAAAGAAAGCTATGTAGATATTCATTTAGTCTTTGGGAATAGAGCTTGCTCTGAAAAATACTACTATAACCTATTGTTTATAGGTTATATAAGGAAGGTCTGGTACAAATCACAATGATAAAAAAATGACAAAACATGGGTCATGCCACAAACCCAGCTCAAATCTTAATGTTGGATGCAAATACTAAAGTCAAATTTGTATCATGCCATTTTTAGATGGGCTGGTCAAAACCTAACTGCAGCCATGTTACAAAATTATAGGAAAGCTATTATAGTATTTTATTGGTCACTAATCTGAAACTCTTCCAGTAATCTTCTGCATCAAATCTTTCTTGTGTGTTTCATGGAATTCTCACAGTAGTCAGATTTATATTGAGCCATTCAGAGCATATCATTCTTGGTCATTTGTCATATATTTCAATTCTCTCTGTGTGTCTCTCTCTCTGTCTCTTCTATGCATGCACACGTGAAACATTTATAATCCACCTGTTTTACCTATCTAGTTGTCAACGTAGCTTCTCCAGAAAAATTTTTTTTAAACATCTCAGTCTGGAAATTTTAATAACAAAAAATTGGTTTACTTTCTAAAGTTTAGGGGGCATCACATTTTACAGACAATTATAAATCATTTGACATTTTAGATGTATTTACATTATTTTTTCTTGAATATTCACAAGAATCATAGTATTCATTTGGAACTTTTCTTTATATGAATTTTCATCCATTTTTCTGTTTATCTTTGATCAATACTATTGGTCCAAATAATGATATTGAGAACTATTTCTTCTTCCTTTGTCTATACATTTGTTTATAAAATCATTTTCTAAATAAATAAAATTTCAGGAGTAGAAAAAAATGCAGAATTAAAAATAAAAATAGATTGAGGTGAAAAATAAAAAAAGGGGAAAGAAGGTAATGTGAATGTGTTTGGGATCAATAAGTTTAAATATTGATATTTTTATCCAGTTATATTTGTATAAAGATTATCTGTTAAGAAACATTGATAACATAGCTAATAAATGAGATCAGATTTTAATAAATTTATCTTTCACTATAGGATTTTTCAAAACTTTTTGCTGTATTAACTTCAACAAGATTGACTAATTTCAAATTTGAAGTCAGCCACTAATGATTTTTTGAAGATTTTCAAGACTATCGAATTTGATGTAAGAATGTTACATAATACAAAGGTCAAAGTAGATACATAATGTTCTTTAGAGGTAATATTTTTAATGATTGAGTCCCAGAGATTTAGAAAGAAAAGATTAAACTTGACTGGTCAAAAAGCAGGTTAGGATTTGTGACCTATCCTTTTACAATAACAGATTTTACATAATTAAGTCTCTGATTCTACAAAATCCTGTTTATAAAACAAATGTAGCTTTATACTTTAAAAGAGCGTGATAGATGATAAGGCAAAAATTGTCTCCGTATTTTCCAAATTTGACTTTAAAGTGTGGATTTCAAATAACTACATATTAATTTCTTAATGTCAGGAGGAATGGTGTCATCCAAGCCATACAGGTTATAATACTTCAATGTGTATCCATTACATATCTAATTATATTTTTAATTGTCTTAATTGAAAGGCCCAAATTATTGTGTACATTTAGTATGGCTAAACTTCCATTATGGTTTATTTATATAGGTACATTGTTTCTGGATTCAAACAGTTTTTAGAATTTTATGCTTAAACACAGTCAACTGATAAACCAATAAAGGTTTTATACATGCACAATTTCAATGTGTACCTGAATGCACTGTAGATCAGACAGGTGTTTGTGATACTGTGTAAAAAAAAAACATTAAGAGGAACAGTGTGTAAAATCTTCTCTGAAACTATGGCTCTAAGGATTGTGACTTTTGAAGAAGGAGCTATTTCAGAAGGTTTTCTGTGTTTTCTTACCACTGTAGTTGTGCTACGGTACATCTATGTCTGCATATTCATAGGATGAGTTTGGGAGGCACCGGAGTGGTTTTTCTAAACTGTTAAAGAGGACAGTTGCTTGTTTGTGAGTTGAGGATCCAGTATGGGATTGTTGCTGCCAAGATGCTTGTATAAAACAACCGATTCCTGGATTTCTTTTTGGGATAATGATGTTATTTGAGGCTAGGAAAAAAGGATAATTGGGTCATGCAATTTAAGAACCACTGAAATAATGCTTAAAACTGCAAGGAGGGGGTTATAGAAATGGTTTTAGCAGTCTTATGTGTTTGATTCTAGGTTTGGTTTTGGAAAAAGTAGAAAGAATTTGTACCTTATGTACTTAGGTGTGTAACTTGAGGACATGGCTAGTTATTTTAGTGAAACATAGTCAACTTTATTTTTATACTGTGTGTGGTCTTAACCAAAGAAAGGTTAGTGACTATTTTAAAATGTAGAATGTCCCTGAGATTAATTATTCCTATTGTTTTTCCTCATAATGTTCTCCTGTTTCTGAAAATTGTTAAATAGTTCTGTGTTGTGCACTTTGGTGAACTATAGACTTCAAACTTTTACCGGAATAATGTGTTGTTGTTATTTTCTACTGCGTTGCATGTAGAATCATAATGCATAATTAGCTCTGTTAATATATTTTCTAGAATTTCTGAGACGTATTTGGAAGAACTTATACTGGGGAAGCCTTTTTTTAAAAGGCCAAAATGACGGCTGCAGAGAATGTGTGCTACACGTTAATTATAGTGCCAATGGACTCGGAGCCACCATCTGAAATAAGCTTAAAGAATGACTTGGGTATGTAATATTTCCTGAGCTATTGTTTTATACCTTTGGGCATATTTGAATCAGAAATTTAAATAACATAGTTTGTAGTCATGTTATCATAAATGTACAATTCTTTTAAATATTAGAAAGTTGCAATGATACTGAAGATAAACAGTCTAAAATATATAGTGATAGCTGAAGTGATTAATGAACTACAGAGCAATGAAAGCAATTACAGAGCAATTAAAAAATATTAATGGCTTGAATAATAAAAATGAAAGAGCCCGGCAGGGAGACAGGTTACTCAGTATCCCTCAGAACTTAAGTTTACATAAAAATAAATTTATAATGGGCTGTTTTGAGCATGAAGCAGAGCTCTGGGCAATGTCTCAAGGGCAACCATCTATTTTGCATTCAAAGCACGCTAGCTGTGTGTCTAAAACTGGATTTTTCATAAAGTTTCACATTCAAAACAATTTGAAGTAAAACATTTTTCACACTCTTGAGTATTACTTTTCTGCAGTGTGCTGATCTTATATCTTTGCAATAGATTACTCCTCACTTGGACACTTATAAAAGACTTTGTTCTATGATTACTCTGTTTGCATTCGAAATAGAATTGCCTTCAGTGACTGAATGTATGAACTTAGTAGCAATTATCAGCAGAGCTTCTATTTTTGCTTCATTGGCCTGTGTACTTTTTGTTGTCGGAATACAAAACAACTACACCAGTGTTTTTTTCAAACTTGGAATATTAAGTATGCCACCTGGGAAATTCTGGGATTTGAAGTCCACACATCTTAAAAATTGCCAAGTTTGAGAAATACTGAATTATACCTTCATCAAAGTAAAAGAGCTATTAATGACATAGTTATATCCAAAAGAAGCTGTGTAAAAATAAACAGAAGTGGTTTGCAGCACAAAATAACATACATTGTGTATGTTATTTTGTTAACATACATTGTGCTTATTTTAAACTTTTTCACTTAACAGAAAAAGGAGATGTAAAATTGAAGACAGAGGCCTTGAAAAAAGTGATAATAATGATCTTAAACGGTGAAAAGTTACCAGGACTTCTGATGACTATTATTCGGTTTGTGCTGCCACTTCAAGACCACACCATAAAGAAACTGCTTTTAGTATTTTGGGAGATTGTTCCCAAAACAACTCCAGATGGTAGATTGCTGCAAGAAATGATCCTTGTTTGTGACGCCTACAGAAAGGTAAATATTTTAATTGGATTTAGTATGAATAAACGAAAAATCAAATATTCTTGCTATAGATCAGTTTATAGTATTAATTTTCTCTGTGAGCAACTATAAGGACCAGTTGCCATATAGGTTTTAAATAAGCTGAATCATTAGAATTGCATGATTTGTGATCGGTGTTTCAAAATGCATTTAGGATGTCATCTTGCTAAAAATGACCAGGTGTCACTTTATGCCAGTTTTTTAATTCTCTCAAAAATAGATTCTTCCTTTTTTATTGAAACACTCTGGATTTATATATATATATATATATATATATATATATATATATATATAGATAGATAGATAGATAGATAGATAGATAGATAGATAGATAGATAGATAGATAGATAGATAGATAGATAGATTAGATTAAGTTTTTAATACATTTCTTTAAAACATACCAATGTATGTTAAAATGTCTGAAGCAAAACAATATGAATAGAGCCATGCATACAGTAGATCTAGAATGGATTCAAAGCAGAGAAGTAATCTGACTGCTGACACCAGTAGACATAAATCCTGTAATATGTTTTGTTAATGTTGTTGTCTTAGGATCTTCAACATCCAAATGAATTTATCAGAGGCTCCACTCTCCGTTTTCTTTGCAAACTTAAAGAACCGGAACTGCTAGAGCCATTGATGCCAGCTATCCGGGCATGTCTTGAACATCGTCATAGTTATGTGCGCAGGAATGCAGTCCTTGCAATTTATACTATTTACAGGTAAATTCTATCTATTGACTAATATCGCAAAGCCTGCATATAAAAAAAATGTTAACCTTAAATGTTAAGCTAAATGGTGAGGTTTTATTTATTTTTCTTGAAATTGATGTATTGGCTAGTAAAGGCTTAATTACTGGGCCATTTATCTGTTTTGATTTTGCTCAAAAAAGATTAAACCCCAGAGTACTTATTTGTGTGTGTGTGTGTGTGTACACATATACATACATACACAAATTTACCACACATACTAACATTACCACACGTATATCTGAGATATTATAAATTGCAGATATTATAAAAATAAAAGCTTATCATTTCTGCTGAAATTCATATGCATGATGAAAATTTACTAACATTTAAGGATTTATAGTAGTCATGCTTTTAAGTAGTCTGATTGATGTTATATGTTTTTTTAATTTATGGTGGTTTCTTTATGTGGTGGTATTGTTCTATACAACTGGATAGATCATACATTATAGGTGATAATATGTAATGAATAAATTGTATATCAGCAGTGTATGCCCATTTTCCTAGAAGCTGATATAAACTTTTGTCTTCGATTTGAAATATTTAATCATTTTGAAAAGTGTTTATTTTATTTTTGATGCAAGTGAAGTAATGTAAATTTAAGAAAAATGAAATTGGAAGAATTAGCATGCCAATTAGGCCATAAGCCAGAAATTACCTTTGTGGAATTATTTTTCTTGCCAGCTAGTAGTCAGATTGTCTTAGAAAGGACTTTTACACACTTGCTAGTGTCTTGTTAAACAATGCATTAAAAAAAATAAGTAGAAGGCAGACAATCAGCTCCTATTAATTTTACATTGTTTGCTCCCTCAGTTATAACATGGATATAATTTCAGTTTTATAGATTCACACTATTGGTGAATTTTTCTTTTATGGAAATACAGTATGCTAGTTTGGAAAATCTTGTTAAAATGCAAATTGCATACCCTGAAAGAAGAATTGTTCTTTAACTCCCTCATCCTCCCAGTTGTGTTGCAGTTTGTGTTGCATTATCCAATTTCTTTGCTTGTAAGTATTATCGGTGCTTTCTTTCCCAAAAGAAACTTTGAACATCTTATACCTGATGCCCCTGAGCTGATCCATGATTTTCTGGTGAATGAGAAAGATGCAAGTTGCAAAAGAAATGCCTTCATGATGCTAATTCATGCTGATCAGGTAAAAATATAGCCTACCTAATTCTGATTGTATTTACTAATTGTGGTTAACTTAGCACTAACACTTCAATCTGATTTCTTCACTGATACATGCCAAGTCACACTAGCCTAAGTTTCACTGTGCATGTCCATCATCTAAAGCTTTGTGAATCCCTGAATTCTAATCCTTCCATAGCCTGAAAAGAAATTCCAGAAAACTCCATCCCTGTTTATGATGCATGTTTGCTAATTCTACATCCAACCCCCTCTGCCCAAATTTACTTTTCATCACTGTTTTATTTTAGTGGATTTGGCAGGCATTATATAAATAATAATTCCGATAAAGTAATTATGAGGTCCCTCCTAGATAGAATGTCAAATATAAATATGTATAAGGAATATTGTGGAACTAAATTTCAAATCAGTATAGCAAAACTCATACTTGATTTTGTTTTTGTTTTTTTATTATTTTTAAAGGACCGAGCTTTAGATTACCTGAGTACCTGCATTGACCAAGTCCAGACATTTGGTGATATTCTCCAGCTAGTTATTGTGGAACTAATCTATAAGGTGCAGTAAATCAAATTAATCTTTTACAATGAAAGCAATTACCTCTGAATAAGATATGCTACTGAAATAAGATTCAGTTGTGAGTTCAGTTAGTAATTTGAGAAGCTTGAAAATTGAGAAGAAATTGTGACAGAAGCTTTTATAAGCCAGAGTATACACTGTTAGATGGAAAGAGAATTAGATCCAAGCACTAGAAGACGTTTCTGTTTGTGCCATCTATGACTGTGGATAGCTGTCTCTTCCGTTTATATTTTATTGTGTCTATATACTGTACTTGAGGTTTTTTAAGTTCTTACAATTGGCAATTGGGGTGGGTAGGTTGCCAAAAGGGTAGGAAGCCGTGAAGTACTAATAATAATAATAATAATAATAATAATAATAATAATAATAATAATAATAATAATAATAATAATAATAATAATAATAAAGTTGGAAGGGACCTTGGAGGTCATCAAGTCCAACCCCCTGCTCAGGCAGGAACCCTACACCATTTCAGACAAATGGCTGTCCAGTCTCTTCTTAAAAACTTCCAGTATTGGAGCATTCACCGCTTCTGGAGGCGGGTTGTTCCATTGGTTAATTGTTCTAACTGTCAGGAAATCTATCCTTAGTTCTAGGTTGCTTCTCTCCTTGATTAGTTTCCATCCATTGCTTCTTGTCCTGCCTTCAGGCGCCTTGGAGAATAGCTTGACTCCCTCTTCTTTGTGGCAGCCCCTGAGATATTGGAACACTGCTATCATGTCCCCCCTCATCCTTCTCTTCGTTAAACTACTGCTTGAAGTTTACTCCATTTGTCATTGTATTTTTTTAATACTGGGTACTTTGAAATATAGTCTGATGATGGTCTTCCATTATAATGTAGTTATAAAGGAAGTAAGCATTTTTTAAAAAATATATTCTGCATAAATAATGCTTCTGTGTCTCGTTTCCAAATGTAGGTTTGTCATGCTAATCCATCAGAAAGAGCTCGGTTTATTCGCTGCATCTACAACCTACTACAGTCATCAAGCCCTGCAGTAAAATATGAAGCAGCAGGAACATTAGTCACTCTTTCCAGTGCCCCAACCGCAGTCAAGGTACCACGGTGCATTGTGTCTTAATAAAGTGTGAGAATACCGTATAGTCAGAAACTAGGCAGTCTTCATGCTGATTAATGATGCTTGCCAGTCAGGTTTGAAAAGTGTTATGGGCCAAGAGAATGGGAAATCTGGTTGCCTTGTAGAACTGTTTGGCTTGTGCGTTAAACTGAAAAGCTGTGTGAGGAGTTCTCACCAAATCGAAATCAAGCCCTTCAGATAAACTTTTCAGGAAAAAAAGTGACCAATATAAAAGGAGAACTCAAAAAATTCAAAGCATCCGTTGTTGATTTTTGAGCTGTGTAGTTCACTTAGTTCTTTCTCAGTTACAGTTGTTTTTGGTAAATATGCAATCTTGTGAATTGTTGTCTATACAGTCATATACAAAACCGATGCTAAATGAAATAATGTACCTAATCACTCAGATGTGGATGCGCTGCAATTTGGGTTTGGATCTGCAGTTTGCCTTCAATTTACATTCAGTCTTAGTAAAGGGAAATGTGTCACACAAGAGATGGTCAGATATTAGAGGTTTTTCTTTTTTTGGACCGCTAACATGATTTATCTAAGGGAAAGAGAGATTTGAAACATAACATTTTATTTCCAGTCTTTCAGGTAACCCTGTACATGCAAGTGGGTTTAAAATCTTTACAAATATTACAGGACTTCCTGTTTTTCCCACTTTTGCAAGTTGTACTACTTGTGTAAAAGTGGGTTTAAATGTTCACAGATATAATATACTTCCTATTTTTTCCACTTTTACAAGTTGTAGTAGTTGCTTAAATGATTGCATTTTATTGATTTATGTTTTAACTTTTTTCGTCTGGATCACAAAAGGATAGCATGTTAAATACCTTAATTCTGTCTTGTAACTTAAGGCAGCAGCTCAGTGCTATATTGACCTGATTATTAAAGAAAGTGACAACAATGTGAAACTGATTGTTCTGGATCGCTTGATTGAACTCAAGGATCACCCTTCCCATGAAAGAGTACTACAAGTAAGTACAATAAACTACAATTTAAAGTAATTAATTCTGTACAAAATTTCAGCCTGAAATTTCTCAGGCTGGTTCATGAGTGCCTATAAATGAAATGTCGTTTATTTCAGGATTTGGTTATGGATATACTGAGAGTTTTGAGTACTCCTGATCTGGAAGTTCGCAAAAAGACATTACAGTTGGCGCTTGATCTTGTATCTTCCAGAAATGTAGAAGAGGTAAAATAAAATGTTACTCTACCAATATACTTGGAAATATATAGATTCTTATTTTAATGTTGTAAAATTAATATTGTACAGAATTGCATAATACACAATTAATAGTATTGTTTTGTCACTAGTTGGTGATTGTTTTGAAGAAAGAAGTCATTAAAACAAATAATGTGACTGAGCACGAAGACACTGATAAATACAGACAGTTGCTTGTTCGGACTTTACATTCTTGTAGTGTTCGGTTCCCAGACATGGCTGCAAACGTCATTCCTGTGGTATGTAAATCAACTTTGTTTTCATTGCTCTGCAATAGTTGTTATTGTTAACTTACCCCGGTTATCAGCTTACTTTAGACAATATCATTATTCATCCCTAATTCATGTTTCCTTTACATCGCTTCCTTAATTAACTGTTTATCTTTGAGACACTTCTAACTTACATAGTATTTCTTTATTTGAGAAGTAATGTTTAGTCACTACCCAGTGCCTGGTGCTTGCTGCATCCAGCCCCAGAATTGGTTTAATTGGTTAGTTTAATTTGTAGATATTTTGTTTTAACATAACTTGTCATTTCATTGAAAATAGTGGAGAACAGTCACCTTTTGACTTTACCCAGATTTAGTCAAAAAACTGATCCAAAAGTAGGCAAGCTAGGTTCTCGGTTCAGAGTTACTTCTAACCCAATCTTAACCTCTTATACCATTCTCATTTATTTCCAATGGGGTTAGGAAAATTCTGTATTCATTTTTCTGAGCTGAATTTTAAAGAACAGAGCTTTACAATGTTGTTAACAATCAGCTTGCTAGATTCATGCTAGAGTTAATCTACTTTTCAAACTCTGATCTCTAGTTCTCTAGATTAAAATGGGATTGAATAGTTTGTAGTTCAGTCTGGCAAGGCTGTTCTCTGTCTCTCTCTGTCTCTGTCTCTCTCTCTCTCTCCCTCTCTCACACACACACACAAAATATATTTCTTTTTATGGAATTGTATTAAGAATTTTCTGTTTACAGAAATATGTCACTTTCATTTAAGTGTTCATAATTTAGCTTTACTGGGTCATGACCTACATTCCAGGCAAATCTATTTCACGTATGTTATATTGATTAAAAAATGAACTGTGCCACAGCTATTATCATTTAGATACACATCTTTTGCTAAGCTGAAGGCCATCCATTCTGCATTCCCGATCTACATATTAAGATATCTCTAATTTATTAGTGGAATGTACTATGGTGCTAATAAATCATACCCAAATGTCTTTTGTCAATGTAAATTGTCATGTCAAAAACAGTTGAACATAAATGCTTTTAAACTGGCAGTCTTTCCCATTCTTAACCTTGTATTTGCCAAAACTTAAGCAGTTAATCTTTTGTGTCATCCCATGATTTTCCACAATAGTTCAGGCAAAGATGTGAGATATTAAATCTCCAAATTTTACCAAATTCCGTAAGATTTCAGTAATGTTTAATTTAATATGGGGGGGAGTTGGTGCTGGCATACATAGTCGGATACTGTCTTGCTGTATCTGGTATTAGCCAGTGGTACAGTGGTTTGTTCCAAATTTTGTAGTGCTCATGTTCATACTTACCCTTCTAGTTGATGGAGTTCTTAAGTGACTACAATGAAGCGGCAGCTGCAGATGTGTTGGAGTTTGTGCGTGAAGCCATTCAGCGTTTTGATAATCTCAGGCTGCTAATTGTAGAGAAAATGTTGGAAGTCTTCCATGCAATTAAGTCTGTCAAGTAAGTTTAAGATCTGCCTTGAAAATTCACTAACTGAATTTCAGTGTGGATTACTTTTAAGACTTTGTGTTTGTAATACTGTCAGCGCCACTGAAAGAATCCATGTACAAATGACTTTGGATAAGTTTCTTGCAGTAGGAATGGATTTTTATTGCTGAAGATTTCTTTTTTCTCTGGATGCATTTAAAATTCCATTTTGATGTGTACATAAAACTTGCCAGATCTAAAAATGATCCTTAAAGAAACCTGCATTGCAGTTCTCTTAATGCCTACTGAAAATATCTCATTGTATTTACTTGGCTGTGTTCCCAGGATTGCAGCCTTTTGTTACATCACTTTATCACAGAATTGCATTAAATACTTTCTTAAAGCAATCTGAAGCACAAGTGACCGTTTCTAAGTAAAATATGTGTAGATTAACATTCAGGGATTTTCAAGTTTCATTCTTCTGTATAAACTGGCCCATTTCTAGCCCACACAATTTTTAAAAAGGCAATGTCCAATAGGGTATTTTTTTAAAAAAATCTACATATGTGAGTGAAATCCAGTAATTCTGGATTATTTTTCAAATAATATATATGTATATATTCTGTTTCAGGAAGAATATGAAGCCTAATTAATAAACTACAATTTGTATTAAAGGTCCCTCAAAGGTGCAATTGTATATATCTCAGGGGTAGGCAACCTTGGCTCTTTTATGACTCGTGGACTTCAAAGTTGGCTGGCTCAGGAATTCTAGGAGTTGAAGTCCATGAGTCATAAAAGAGCCAAGGTTGCCTACCCCTGGTATATATTGTACATGTACTGAGAGAAGGTCTCAGAGAATTTGTCCGAATACTTGTCAGGACTTTGCTATCAGTTAATTTTTGTGGTTAGTTGCAGAAAGTCCATTCCTGCGACATTTCCTCTCCTACCTGTCAAAATCATCTCTGCACTGGCAGCCCTCCCTTTGGAGTGCTTTCTTTTACTTAGACCCAAGCATGCATCTGTGACCTTCACGCAACTCACTGTATTGCTAGAAAGAAGATTGGTGTCAGGGAGAAATCGAAAAGAAGAGTTATTTTGCTGCTCTTCTGCTTTTTCTATACATACTTGACGCTCACGCTTGATAATCGGTGGAGTAGAAAAGGGCATTTCTTGAAAGGAAGCTACACCCATCTTTAAATTTATGATTTATTTTCTTTGATCTGGGATAAGTTGGTGGCTCTGTGCAATTCTTTACAAAATCAAATCCATTCTCATAAATAACCTGGCTGACTATAGGTAGTCCTCGCCTTACAACCATTCCTTTGAAGTTACAAGGGTGTGACTTAGGACCGTTTTTCACATGGCCATTGCAGCATTCATCCACGGTCATGTGATCAGAATTTGGATGCTTGGTAACTGACATGTATTTATGATGGGTGCAATGTCCCGGGGTCTTGTGAACATCTTTTGCAGCCTTCTTGACAAGAAGACTCAATGGAAAGTCAGATTCACTTAATATTAAAATATTAAAGAGCCGTGGTGGCGCAGTGGTTAGAATGCAGTATTGCAGCTAATTCTGCTGGCTGCCGACTGCCAGCAGTTCGGCAGTTTGATCCTGACTGGCTTAACGTTGACTCAGCCTTCCATCCTTCCGAAGTCGATAAAATGAGGACCCAGATTGTTGGAGGCCATAGGCTGACTCTGTAAAACTGCTTATAGAGGGCTGTAAAGCACTGCAAAGCGGTATGTAAGTCTTATTGCTGTTCCTTTGCTGACTTAAAAATTGCAGTGATTCACTTAACAACTGTAGCAAGAAAAGTCACTTAACAACTGTCTTGCCTAGCAACGAAATTTTGGGTTCAATTGTGGTCAATTTAGGATTACCTGTAGTTTATTTTGCTTTGCTTTACAGAATTTATCGGGGAGCACTTTGGATCCTTGGCGAATACTGCAGCACACAGGAAGATATACAGAGCGTAATGACAGAGGTCCGTCGATCATTGGGAGAGGTATGTGTTTGCATTTTTGTCAATTGGAAATATTTTCCCAAGCTGATATACAGTATTTTAGAGGAAAAACATAGTCTTTGAAAAATTCTATCGAATCTTGAAACCGGTTCTTCATTTCTTGAGGATGCATTTAGGAATTCTTTAAATGAAAAGCTATGTAATAGTATCCACAATTTCTGATAGAGTAACTGAACAGAGTTTCATTACGTTGAAGTAATTGATCATTTCATTGATGGGTAATGAAACTAATGGCAACCTTTTGACAGAAATATAATTAATATGGGCCTTCTTATAAAAAGGATTGATTAACTGGGAGGCATTTGTGATAATGGAGTGTATCTGCCAACCTTCAGCTCCCAGTGGAAACAATTCTTTTCTGCCCTCATTTTAATTGAGAATCCTCGAAAGCAGTATTGGGGAAACATAGAGCAAAGACAATTATGAGACTTCCATCTTTGCAAAGCAGCTCAGATAACATTGAGTTTATAGATTTAAAAGAAATTCAGAAAATTCTAATGATATCCAAGATCAAATCCAAATTGTCCTTCTCCCAAAATCTTTTGATCAAACAGTTTTGTGTAATAATGAAAAGATAACTTTACCTTGAGTGAAATAAATCTACATAATCTTAAGTACTAATAGGAACAGAAGCAATACTCTGCTAGATTGGATCCCTGTCCAGCAATCTATTCTTACAGTGGCCAAACAACTGCACAAGGAGCTCATTAGTCTTCCAGCAGATGGTCTTCACTGCCATGAAGACTGATAGCCATCGGTCCCCATGACTACCACAAACTTGCTCATTTGAATGCAAGTTGGAATGTACAACCATTTGTTATTGCAAAATACGTAATGCATACAGCAGGAGTAAGATTATTAGTAATGAAATCTCCTAAGCTTATAGCCTCTTCTATTTTCCCATCTTTTTATTGTAATGTATTTATCTTACTGCTTGAAATGTCTTTATTACAGCTAGAAGTCAAATGTAAATAAAACATACATATGTACGTATGCATATGTGTGTGTGTACACACTTTATGTATTTGTATGTACATGTGCATGCTTGGGTCAATTTTGACTCCTTATAAGAAAAGATGGATGGTACATTTGAAAGCACAAAACTGAGCAATCTGGATCTAGGTATATGTAGGGGTGTGGGTCTATACATATGTTGTACATAGTATGTTTTAGGTCTGTGTCATGTATGTGTTTCACTTTGAGAGCGGGCAACTAAATTTCATTTTTGATGTGTGCCGTTGTACCCACAGTAAAAAAATGACAATAAAGGTCTGTCTATCTATCTATCTATCTATCTATCTATCTATCTATCTATCTATCTATCTATCTATCTATCTATCTATCTATCTATCTATCTATCACTCATCTTACTCAGACAAAAGAGGCAAACCAAATACATGTTGGAACCACAAGGAAAGCTCTAGTCAATTCAGATTGAGTAGCTTCAAGAATATTAAGTTTGAAAAGATAAGGAGTGAGAGTAGGAGAGAGCAAGTTTGTATTTTTAACAACTTTACTCCTACTGCTCCTTTTTTACATTCAGATCCCGATAGTAGAATCTGAAATCAAGAAAGAAGCTGGTGAGCTGAAACCTGAGGAGGAAATCACCGTGGGTCCTGTCCAAAAGCTGGTAACTGAAATGGGAACTTATGCTACACAGAGTGCCCTTAGTAGCTCCAGACCTGCCAAAAAGGAAGAAGAGAGGTGATTAAGTTTTTTTGCTGTTCTTAGAATGATTTGTACAAACATACGTATATGTTTTTTTTCTTATAATTGCACAAATCGCTGAATGTGATTTTTATTTTACCTTTCATAATATCTCTTTGGTACTTTTTTTTGAATTTCCGGTTTGGACTTCAGAATGTAATGATAATAATTTGTTATAATAACAGTTATTTGAAAGGACTGCAACTTATATATATGTAGGAGATGAACAGGCTGAGCCTGAGGGTGGGGTCAAATGCATCATTAGGCTGGAGGCTCTATGCCCCCAAGACACCTAAGTCCAGTCCCTGAAGTCTGTTGACTGTTATCTGGCACCAATTTAGTAGATCAGATTCTTGTGCATAGATAGCATGGAATAAACTCACAGTGCTTTTGAACTCTGTTCTGGCTCTAGGTTTCTTGCACCTGACAAAATGAAACTCATAGTCATGGCAGCAGACATTTCTCATCCATTTTATAGCCCCCTCTTCCCCTAATCCAGGAGTCTGCAACCGTGACACCTTTAAGACTTGTGGACTTCAGTTCCCAGAATTCCTCAGCCAGCTATGCTGGGAGCTGGGAGCTGAAGTCCACAATTCTGGGAGCTGAAGTCCACAAGTCTTAAAGGTGTCATGGTTGCGGACCCCTGCGCCTAACCCTTCAAGTAAAATTAGAGGCTAGAAGTGAAAAAAGAGTTGCAGAGGATTGGGAATATTTTTTTTTCCTATGAGTTCTCTTGATAAAAGCATTCCACCTGTGGAACAATTAATATCATTTCTATTCAATTTTTTATAAAGAAAATCTAACAAGATTCTACTTTTTTTTTCTTTAGCAAGTAGCCTTGAATTAAAAACCACAGTGATCCTTCAGCACCTTCAAGTTGGCAGAATCATGCACAAAAAGAATCTTGCTTACAGTAGCACAAAGCACGAATGCAACATTTTAATGAAGGAATTAGCGGTTTGCAGCTTGTGGGGGGAAAAACCTTCCTATAGTGCTTGTTGCAATCAAGTGATTTCCGTGAAATAACTTGGCAAACCTTTGATAATGTTAGAGCTAGGTTGCTTTTTATAATTGGCAACTTCATGAATACTGTATCAATTGTTAAAAGTCTCAAGAGTTTGCAACATTTTGTATCCAAAGACTTTTCACAAAAACATTAAAAACCTGGCAAGATTTTAGTATTCTCAAACTAGAATTAGAACCTTTAAAAGCCTGTGAGATTTCAGCTATTTCTTTGGTGGATTCATGGATGAACTCTAGAACCTGGGAATCTTACCACAAACACCAACATTTCTGTCATGTTTTTACCCACTTTTGGAGGGAAATGGAACAAATAATTGACTTTGTCACTGACCACTTGTGAATTTTCTGTTTTCATAATTCTTTGGTACCTATTGCTAAGATGGGTACCTTACCCATGTAAGGTATGTGCTTCTTCTCAGCCAGTATTAGGTTGGTAATAGTTATCTGTGGTCATCTAGAGTTACTGAAGCACCTAAATAAATTTTCCTTTAGTATATAAACTAATGAACTCCCCAGCAGATAAAACTGTAATGAAAGAACCTTAGATGCAGGAGACAGGTTAAAGTTCCCAAAGGTATTTGAAACTCAAGCTCCTATATTCATCATATGTCTTGATCTTATCTGGGGAAAGTTTTGTCACAACATGAAAATAACTTTTGCATAGTTGCAATGGATCATTGAAATATCATACAAATGCATACAAATTCCTTCATACAGCTAAGTGAAAGCAGAAGGCACGGGATTGCCAGCTGCTCTTTTTTCTGAATGTCAATTTTACCTTTTCTTTGTAGACCTCCGCTGAGAGGCTTTTTGTTGGATGGTGATTTCTTTGTTGCAGCTTCCCTTGCAACAACTCTGACCAAGATTGCTTTACGTTATGTGACTCTGGTTCAAGAAAAGAAGAAACAAAATGTAAGTGATTTTTCTCTGATTCATAGAGGCTTTTGTATCATTAAATTTCAATTTTTAGGCAATAGCTGTATACTCAACTCACTTATGGTTCTTTGCAGCCTCACATGGAGGTACAATTGACCGAACCGTTTGCTGTCAGGATGTTATTTTTGTATGGGTTTCCAAAGGCAGCAACTTGGTTTATTGTGCCTTAGAGTATTTGAAACAAATCAAAGGACACCATAAGTTATCTATGTAATTAATTTAGAGAAAGAAAGAGACAGTGTTATCCTAAGCCCAGTTTAGACCAGGGGTCTTCAAACTTGGCCCTTTTATGACTTGTAGACTTCAACTCCCAGAATTCCTCAGCCAGGCACACTGGCTGAGGAATTCTGGGAGTTGAAGTCCACAAGTCATAAAAGGGCCAAGTTTGAAGACCCCTGGTTTAGACCCTGGATGATTGGAAATTGCATGCCAAAGCATCTTCCCTAAAGAGGGAAGGCTCCATCATGGTTTTTCTTTGGCGCCACTTGGACATATTTAGCATAAGTAGCCTGTGTCTTGCAATTGCTACTTTTTTAGGTCTTAACTCAGTCTTACATGTCATTTTGAAGAAGAGAATAGTGGAATGCATGGGATTAAAAGAAATGTCAGTTGTTTAATTATCATCTCTCTTGTCAGTCTTTTGTCGCTGAGGCGATGCTGCTTATGGCCAGTATTCTCCATTTGGGCAAGTCTTCTCTCCCCAAGAAGCCAATCACAGATGATGATGTGGATCGGATTTCTCTGTGCCTGAAGGTGCTCTCAGAATGTTCCCCTCTTATGAATGATATTTTCAACAAGGAGTGTCGGCAATCTCTCTCTCATATGTTGTCTGCTAAGTTGGAAGAGGAGAAGCTGTCTCAGAAGGTGAGAACTGATCTCCACCTCTGTACTTAAGATCATTAGAAAAGATCGGTTCAGTGCCAATGCCAAGGACCAATTCTTAGCAGAAGCCTTTTCCTTTTTGTTTACACTTCTCTTAACCATTTCTTTTTTTTTTTCCCTTACACCAGAAAGAGTCTGAGAAGAGGAACGTGACCATTCAGCCAGATGATCCTATTTCTTTTATGCAGCTTACTGCTAAAAACGAAATGAGCTCAAAGGAAGATCAGTTTCAGCTCAGTCTTTTAGCAGCTATGGGAAACACTCAGAGAAAAGAAGCTGCTGACCCACTGGCATCCAAGCTCAACAAGGTAATATAGATTCTTCCCAGGCAGTTCTTCAACTAAATCCAGGGAAATACCTTATCTCATTCTAAATAGTGAAATTTAATGAAAGCCTTGGAGGAAACTGCAAATAGGGCTTAGCCAGTGGGTGAAGCGAAACGGATGGCCTGGCTTCCTAGGCGAAATGAGGAAGCGCAGTTAGAACTGTAAATATAAAGTTTATTTAACTGTATGACTGAATCTCTCCAAATATGGATTGCCATACTGGTGAGAAAGAGTAATTGTGTTTTGGAATACAGTAATTCATTTTAACAGCTTTGGGATATTGGTGAGTGTAAGAGTGGCTTGTTGAGCTACACAGGATTAAATATTACTGCTAATAAAAGTAAGTGCAATTTTTTTCACCAAAGTTCTTATCTGTTTTTTAATAAGTCAGCAATACTTGGATATTCAGGCAACTGCATTATATTCATTGAGGTTATTCTGGTAGAGACTGACAATTCATGCCTAAGTATCTCCTTATCCTTAACAGGTAACTCAGTTGACAGGTTTTTCAGATCCCGTCTATGCCGAAGCATATGTCCACGTCAACCAGTATGACATTGTGTTGGATGTGCTTGTGGTAAACCAGACCAGTGATACTCTACAGAATTGCACGCTAGAATTGGCTACCTTGGGTAAATAATCCACCATTTTTACTTATTTCTTCTCAATATGTCTGCTGTGTTTCTCATTAACATTGTCCTTCTGTGTTCCCTTCAAACCATTTCAATTAGGCGACTTGAAGCTTGTGGAAAAGCCATCCCCTCTGACCCTTGCGCCCCACGATTTTGCCAATATAAAAGCGAACGTGAAAGTAGCTTCCACTGAAAATGGGATTATTTTTGGCAACATCGGTAAGTGTTCCGTTGTATATCTAATGTGGGATTTTGAAAGTGTCAAATCCCCGTTGAGAGAAAATGAATGGATGGATGGATGGATGAATTATATACAGTGTACAATATAGGAGTTAATCAGCAGCACCTAAAATACTGGAGAATACTATTTTCAGAAATGAGCCACTTTTCAGAATGAAACTATGTGTTTATTCAGCTTTAAAACTGTCACAACATATGTTGTTCATTTCTACTGACTTTTCTCTCTCTATTTTTAGTATATGACGTTTCTGGAGCAGCCAGTGATAGAAACTGTGTGGTTCTTAGTGACATACACATTGACATCATGGATTACATCCAGCCTGCTACCTGTACTGATGCTGAGTTCCGTCAGATGTGGGCAGAATTTGAATGGGAAAACAAAGTGAGCTCTATAAACTGTTTCAATATTTATACTTTTTATTATTGAATATTTTAAAGAAAGAAACCACGAAGTATAAGAGTCATCTAAAAGAATAAAAATGTAAAGCACAGTTAATAAGATATAAATAAGCAAACATGGAATCTAAAATGTCATGGAGATTACTTTCTTAAATCGTATCATTAGTAATTTATAAAGTTATGAAATGTGTTACATCACTGGAAGAAAAATTAAAAATCACTATTAAGCTTTAAATTTAAGAATATCTGGTTAACATAATATAAATCATTAACTATAATTATAAGTGATAATGAATTAAATCAGTACCAGGGTTTTGAGTAATTCAATACTGGAATCACCATCCACAAAAATATTGGAAAAAATTGATTGATTGATTGAAGTTATTATGGATACTCAGTTATTATGGACATTATGGATACTGGGTGGCTTCAGTTTCTGTAGGCTCTGTTGAAGTGTTTGAAAACTAGGGTTCTTTCAGAATACACTTAATGGTAACATTTAAAAGCCCAAGATTAGAGATTAAAAGCCATGTTTTCAGTTGTTCCTTATCAATTGAAAGATAGCTTGAGGGTTAATTTCTATTTATTTTTGAAGGTTACAGTGAATACCAATATAGTGGATCTGAATGAATACTTGCAACATATCTTAAAATCAACTAACATGAAATGCCTTACCCCAGAAAAGGTAAGATCTTATATTCAGATCTGGAGATAGATTGGGGCTTTCTTGGTATTTCTTCCTTTCTGATCACCCATCCCTGGCATGCACCTGCCAAAAACTTTTCTTGAGGCTTAGATCCTTGGAATGGCATAGGATATGTTGGTGCAAATGACACCAGTGACAAGTGGAATGCTTTTTCCTAAACATTGTGACTGAAGAGTTTACTAATATTACGCTAAAGAATTTAATGGGTTTAAAATTTGCTTTAATTTGGCTTCACTGTCCATTCATGTAAATCTGTTCTTGGATGAATAAGGCCTGTATATGTTTATTGCTTTTTGGATGGTTTGAACTGTAATGTAACGAGAAGATCAAACATTATACCACAGACCTGCTCAATTATTAAGCTTCAAGAGGAAAAATATATTTTTATAAACATTGTATCAAATGTTGTTTTCTAGGCACTTTCTGGTTATTGTGGCTTCATGGCTGCCAACCTGTATGCACGCTCCATATTTGGAGAAGACGCACTTGCAAATGTCAGCATTGAAAAGCCAATTCATCTGGGACCTGATGCTCCAGTCACGGGACACATAAGAATTCGGGCAAAAAGTCAGGTAATTATATTTCTATGCTGTTATTTTCCTAAATTTGTGAACTTTTCACATCAGTGAAATGTTTGCTCTTAATTTACCATTTATCGTTACTCTGATGAATAATTTGATTACTGTATATTGACTAATGTAGCACATTATCCTGAATGAATTCTTCAGACTATAGGGAATGCCCTGTGAATCTTTGTAGAATAAACATGTAAATCTGCCATTAGGAGAAGTGCTGATGAAATAGACAAGTCCAAAAATGACATGGGAATTTTCTGAAGTGCCATGAGCTGGATTATATTTATCACTATATATGTATCTTCTGAAAAGTTGCTGGATATATTTGAAAAACTTTTAAAATTACCGTACTTATAATTCAGTGAAACTAGCTATTATGAAATATTTGGGTTCCTTTCACTCCCCATTACAGTACAATTGGGTTTGGCAATTAATATGTACAAAAAATTCAGAATCTCAGAATTTGTGTATCATTGCACTTCAGGAAGAATACTACAGTTACTTTTAGAACCCATGAACTGCCAAATTATAAAAATCAGCAATACTGTAACATACCAATTCTGTTAATCGTATTTATTTATACAGTGCTGTAATAGCATGCACTAAAAAGTAATTTTTCCCAAAAGTCTTAGGAAATCAGAACAAGATTACATTTAAATACTGCTGACAAAAATTACCTAGATGAGAGTCTGATTAATGGGACATGTTTTCAGTTATGAGATTTTCATCTCACTCAATTTGCACGCTCATAATCTGGAGAAAGGAGAAGAGTATTGTCATGAGATGCTATCCCTCATGATTAGGTGGCCACCTTTTGCATTACTTATTTGATGATCTAAATGGCTTTTGATTTATTATAGCATCGAATTGAGAAGTTTCTATAAAATGATAAGTTTTAAGATTGTAACTAAAAGTTAACTGACTAAAAGGCATTACCCAAAGTTTTTCTGAGCTGTAGTGGTAAGAGAAATTAGGAGAAAATGTGTTCAGCACTGAACTGAAGAATTAATTGTGATTTAATTATTTCAGGGTTTTCTCATAAAACATTCCAAACTTCCTAAAAAATCTTCTCAAGAGTCATGCAGACTTTGGGGAAAAAATATTTTCCTTACATGTGAATTACTGAATATTGAAATTATTATTTTAATTGTGATTATTCTGTTCCTTACAGGGAATGGCGCTAAGTCTTGGTGACAAGATCAATCTCTCTCAGAAGAAAACTAATTTATAAGATTCTTCTGAACATTTACAACTAAATGCTTGGAATTTTGCTTGTTGGGGATCAGAACATTTTTCATATTCTGTGTTTTTTGGTTGTAGAAGCCGAACTTGTAATGAATAAATTCCAGCAAATAATGTTTAGGTTTTATCATTCAAGATCATTGTTGATAAAACTTCAAATATATTTTTTCTCTGTCTGTAAAAGTCAATTTGTCTAGTCTCTTACATGTACTCTTTCCAAACTAAAATAAAATACAATTCTCTATAACTATGTTGTGTTACTTGGACATCAGATCTATATTATTGAGAACTTCAGAAAAATTTCATAGTAAACTTTAAGATAGACTATGAGCAAAATTAGGATTTCTTGTCATACACACAGAGACATATTTATTTATTTAATTTATATGCCACCCAACTCACTATCAAGCGACTCTGGGTGGCTTACAAACATCATAAAAACAGGCACAGAACATTTAAATATTAAATAACTAGAAACTGAATAAGTTTTGAAAACTAGAATATTATGGGGTGGAGAAGGATCTTGCTACTCCGAAAACCACCTCTAATATGGAATGCCCTAAGGCCAGTCAGCAAGGCTAGGTTTTTAGGCAGTTATGTAGCCCAAGAGAACGGGGGTGGATCTCAACTTGAGGAGAAGGAGGAGGATGTTCCAGAAGGTGGGAGCCATGCCAGAAAAGGCCTTTCTGGAATGAGTTAGATATGAATTTCATATGAATTAGACCCCCTTAGCAGCAAGAAGGCCATGTTTCCTGAGGTAATATGCTTTCCAGTAGGCAAAGTAGCACCAGTGTAGCCTACTACTGTATATGGGACTTCTGGTATCCTGATTTGGGGGGGGGGGGGCTCTAGTCTCCATTGTGTCATCAAACTTAGTAGGCTATATATGCATTATTTTTAAGCTTTAAACACATTTTTACCCTTTAAGTTAGATTTGTTTTCTCTGGACTTGTGATCTTCAGGAGTAAATGCCTAGCAAAATTTTCAGATCACGAAACAGAACTTCAGGTCATTCAAACAATAGTACATTTGCATTCTGAACAATTCCTTTATATTAAATGAAAATGAATGTCAAATGTTCAAGTATGATGCTAAGTTCACACACTGAATGAAGATAAGGCTTATTAAAAAGCCCAGAATTTGCTAGGTTCCCACATAATTATAAACCAAAACAACCAGGCCGTATTATGGCTTAACTATTTCTTGTGACGCTATTTTGGTATTGATTTGAAATTTGGGCTGTGCTCCAACTCCCAATAATGAAGCCTGAATCTGATACTACTCAGGGATGTTAATTTTTACTTGCCCAAGATGGATACAGCATTAATCAACCAGCCCCAATTCAAGACTCCCAAGTAACTAATCTCAATTTGTTATTCCAGAAGTTAAAACCGTGTCCATACAAATTACCTCTGCCATCTTGATAATGATGGTTTTACAGCAGCTACTCCATATTCTTGTCCTGAATGGTTCTATGTGACTTGCACTTGCAAATTGCAATCGTGAGCAGTGGGATTATTTCTTTTCATTACCATTCTCATTTTTGATATTCTTTTGATTCCTCTCTTCTTTCCAGCCTATCTCACCTTTTGCAGTACAGGTAGTCCTCGACTTATGACCACAATTGAGCCCAAAATTTCTGTTGCTAAGTGAGACATGTGTTAGGTGAGTTTTGCCCCATTTTACCATATTTCTTAGCACAGTTAAGTGAATCACTGCAGTTGTTAAGTTAGTAACGTGGTTGTTAAGTGAATCTGGCTTCCCCATTGACTTTGCTTGTCAGAAGGTCGCAAAAGGTGATCACATGACCCTGGGAGTCATAAGTAGGAGTCACTTGCCAAGCATCCGAATTTTGGTCACATGACCAAGGGGATATTGCAAAGAATATCCACAGAAGCCAAAAGTAAAATAAAAAATGAATGCATTCATCATCCAGAAAAGAAGAGGTCTAACCCATGCTGTTTAACACACTGAAAATAACGTAAAAGCTGCTTCATGCGAATAATATACGTGTGAAGAAATAATGGAGACTAAATGAGGATGTTCTGCACGCTGGTACATCTCTCATTTTAGATCAGTGCATCTGGCTTTTTATGCCTCTTCCTTAGTAAGTGATAACTTTCTTTTTTTTTTTCTTTTAACCATTACAATGTGTGTTCTCACTTTGGAATGTTTGAGTTCTTCAATAATAAAATGCTTTTGTTGCCATGGGAACATTGTCACTTTTGGAAAGGATACTGTAATTATGTGTTGGAATGCCAAGGAAATCTGTACTGCCATTGTGCTGATATGAGGAACCAATAGATATTCATCTGTAAGTCATTATGGATCATTTATTTATGAAAAAAAAGAAGCCTCAACTGTACATTTATATATAAAGGAGAAATGGAGAATTGCACCTGAGCAGACAATTCATGATATTGCTTCCTCTCCCAAGATTTTCTGTAATAAGAAAATCAATAGGTTAAAAAAAAAAACCCCTCTCCTACGTGGCAGGAACAATTGTGTAAAAGATATTGTAAAGGGGAAGAAATGTCTGAAATAAATTACAGTGTAGAGTAATAAGGTTTATTTTCAGAACAATTATTGTTTGGCTTGTCCTCTGCATGTTTTTGCAAGTCCTTCGTTTACAGAAATTATCATGTCTGCAAGTTTCCTTGCTCAACTGCTTTACATTCTGCAATTGTCTGAGCTTGATTCTATAGGCTACCTGCATTTTTCTGTTGCTCATTGTACTGCAACAAGAGGAACATCTTCAGTCTTCCAACAATTGCTTCCTGTTGCTTGAAAAACCAAAAGAAAATGTAACGCAATATAGAAAAAATAGGGGTTTTTTCAATAAAATTTCCCAGGAAAACATATACAGTTTGTAGCCTACCTTTTGTTCACTTAATGCTATTTCCCTGAATGGATAGCACCCTCAGGATCCATTCATTTCTGTTTATAAATATATTTCAATAAATGTTATTGAAATGTTATTAACAACCTTCACTCCTTATCTAAAAAAATGGTCTGCCAAATCCAACACCTTCCTACAATTACTTGCCAAAAGATTTGGACAACTGAAAACATTCTTTTGGAAAGTCATTGAGGCCATTTGGAGGTTTATCCGTGTCCTCAGGGTCACCTAAGTAGTGCAAATGTGTGTGGAGCCTTCTAGGCTGCAGGATGTTTTCTGCCCTGTGTCCCTTCACTGCTGAAGACAGGCGCAGGTTGTTGGGGATGAGTCTGTGTTGTCTGAAACTTAAACTGAAGCACAAATGGTTCCTGTAGTCTGCAATGTTTTCTGGAAATCCGTTCATACTCCCGCACCATTTGAAGGGTGTTCATCCCAAAGTACATAGCTAAATGTCTACGGAAATTCTCAGTCATTCAGGTCATGGTTGTCCCAAAGTTGCTTTTTCAGGACATCCTGCACACATTTGCACTTCTCAGGTGACCCTGAAGACACAGATAAACCTCCAAATGGCCTCAATGACTCTCTAAAAGAATGCAAATGACCAGCTGTCTACAAGGAATATAAATCCTTCCATTCCTCACCGTCCAGTCAGAACTGAAGAATAGAATAGAACAGAATAGAACTTTATTGTCACTTTGAATGTACACTAATCGGCATACATTAAAATGAAATTTCGCTGCATATAGGCTCTCAAAGGGTCACCAAGCTACTTGGATGAGAAGCAAAACGTCTTCAAAGAAAAAACAAGAGAGTCCAGTTGCCTCCTGAAAAAGCACCTTTGGGACAACCGTGCTCCGGATGACTGAGAATCTCCATAGACATTGAGAGATAAGAGTTGTTGTTTTTTGTTGGTAGTGTGCCCACATGCCCAGAAAAAGGACAAAAGTAAGCAGGAGAAGACAGTTTCCTGACAAATGGGATAGAGAGATGTATGCATAGTAATAGTTAATTGATGCCTGCTTTCTATTTATGTCTTCTGCATCAGCCACTTTGTGAGAACTCCCACATACTCTCAGAATTCTGCATTCAGTAGAATTATAAATACTTAATGCTGACTACATTCTTGCAATCTCAAAACCCACATATTACATCTGTCTCTGTAACTTCTGTCCATAAATGAGACTCACATTTATTAAGTAGATTCTATTTTTTTCCTTTTTCTAATGCTTTCATTCATAAATGAATGCTGTGGCATTCAGATGATATGTGTACTCTGCTAGATTATAATGGGGTAGCTAAATTGAATTCTTCCAGAAAGACTCTCTTTAGAATTGTATTTATGGATCTCTTTACTTTTCTTAAACTCTCAGATTAGAGAAGTCAATTGTATGGATGTCACATTATGCCCTGTCCTTGTATACCTGAATTCCATAACTTCCAGAGAGACATAGAAACCATGTTTTCTTACACCATTGTCCACGGAGAGGGAAAAGTCAGGATAGTGATCATGGCAGTATGATCAAAGCTCCAGTTTTCTATACCTGCTCTGCCTTCTGCACTATTTCTTTATTGTCTGTCTGTCTGTCTGTCTGTCTGTCTGTCTGTCTGTCTGTCTGTCTGTCTGTCTGTCTGTCTATCTATCTATCTATCTATCTATCTATCATATGGTGATGTTACATTAGTCAGCAGACTATTACGCTAATACAGAGTTGTTTGACTGCCTTAAGACTGCTAGCCCATTCAGTTTACGCTCATGTGCTATCCTTGGTGCACCATAGCGGGTGAGTTAGTTCTGCACCCAAAAGAAAAACAAACTGCATCCTGCAGTGCTCTGGATCCTGAACTAAGATGCTTTGTCATTCAAGACCAGACAGATAACTCAATGAAATGGTTTAAAACAAATATTTAATCCGGGAAACTTACATTTCTGAAGATGTGTCCAGAAGCTGAACATTTGCCCATTTATGTCGGTAAAATCAGTAATTCCTCCATATTCACTTTAGCCTGATTACATACGATGTCCATGCGTGCGGCATGGTTGGTTTTGCACAAAGACAATTAAACACAAGCTGGCACGTAGCCAGGATATCCTGTGATGAACTTAGTAGCCCCTCCCACTTACTTATTAACATAGGATTCACTGAACAGCTAAACTACATTACCCATAAGCCATCTCCTAAGGAGACAGCGCTTAGCCCTTTAAATGCCAAACATTCTAACATACAGATCTATATGCTCTGGTCAGGGTTACATTGATCCAGCACATGCAGCGTCATCCGGGTCTTTCTCCCTCTAATCGAAGTGGCTCCACAAGTGGGTGCAACATCAGGGAAGGTCCAGCG